GACTGCTGAAACTTGAAATGTATGCCTCTACTATACAGGCAGGCTCCTGACTTCAAAACTTGAATGTATTCCTCTGCAATACAGGCGAGCTCCTGACTTCAAAACTTGAATGTATTCCCTTGTTTTCTATATGGGTGCCTGTAGTCGAAACAAACAAAACAAACGAAATTTTTTGCCCCAGTTTGCACTAGGAAGATTTGTGAGTTTTTAGCAATATTGTAAACCACTTATACTACTGATGCAATGATGAGAGTAAACTAAAGACTAGATTAGGATGTGCGTCTCCTACGAGTAAAACCAAGAAACTTTGACTAGCAAATGCATCTGCTAAAATAAAACCTGAATGAACCAAATTAGGAAGTGCGTCTCCTAGGGGTGAACTTAACTAACCAAGACTAGGAAGTGCGTCTCCTATGAATGAACTTTCAATTTAGGACGTGCGTCTCCTAAGAGAATAACTTGAAAGACCTTGATTAGGAAGTGTGTCTCCTGCAGGTAAAACTTCAATGAACCCGACTAGGAAGTGCTCTCCTATGAATGAATTCTAAATTTAGGAAGTGCGTCTCCTATGGGTAAAAACTTCAATGAACCAGACTAGGAAGTGCGTCTCTTAGGGCCTAACTTAAATGACTCAAACTAAGAAGTGTGTCTCTTAGGGGGGTGAAACTTCAATGACTCAAACTAGGAAGTGCGTCTCCTATGAATGAACTATCAACTTAGGAAGTGCGTCTCCTATGGGTGAAAATCAACTTAGGAAGTGCGTCTCCCAGGGGTGAAACTTCAATGACTCAAACTAAGAAGTGCGTCTCCTATGAATGAACTCTCAATTTAGGAAGTGCGTCTCCTAAAAGAATAACTTAAAATACCTTGATTAGGAAGTGCGTCTCCTACAGGTAAAACTTCAATGAACCAGATCATGAAGTGCGTCTCCTATGAATGAATTCTAAATTTAGGAAGTGCGTCTCCTATGGGTGAAACTTCAATGACTCAAACTAGGAAGTGCATCTCCTATGAACTATCAATTTAGGAAGTGTGTCTCCTACAGGTGTAACTTCAATGACTCAAACTAGGAAGTGTGTCTCCTATGAGTGAACTCTTAATTTAGGAAGTGCGTCTCCTATGGGTAAAACTTCAATGAACCAGACTAGGAAGTGCGTCTCCTAGGGCCTAACTTAAATGACTCAAACTAGGAAGTGCATCTCCTATGAATGAACTCTCAATTTAGGAAGTGCGTCTCCTATGGGTGAAACTTCAATGACTCAAACTAGGAAGTGCGTCTCCTAGGGGTGAATTTTCAATGACTCAAGCTACGAAGTGTGTCTCCTGGGAATAAACTTAAATGACCCAAAACTAGGAAGTGCGTCTCCGAGGGGTGAAACTCAATTTAGGAAGTGCGTCTCCTAAAACAAAAATATAACCTATCCAAACTAGGAAGTGCGTCTCCTAGGGGTGAAATCTCAATTTAGGAAGTGCGTCTCCTACAGGTGTATCATGAAAGACCCAGACTAAGAAGTGCGTCTCCTAGGGGTGAANCGACTAGGCAGTGTTTCTCCTAGGGGTGATGTGTGATCTTCTCGATAGCCTTTGCGTAAGCAAAATTGGGGCGTTACACCTGAAAATTTCAAGCTTCCCAGCTTTGGTATGAACATAGCTTCCGTCCCTGTTTCAGACAAAGAAAACTTGTGAGTTTAAACATGGTGGTTGGTTTGTGGCCTTTAATTTGCGGCGATTGCTCCTTCACTTGCCATGATAACTTTGATTTCACCTTGAAAAGACGTTGCTTGCTTATTGACTAACCAATTTCTTTGCCATCCTTATCACAGAAAATACCTCTTCTCCGTTCAGACCCAATACCCTTTATCCGTTGCATTGCTCATTAACTGACATTTACCAAACCTTTTTGTTTCACATGAATCCCAAAGCACGTCAATTGCCACCCACTCAGTGTGTATGTTGTTCTTTCTTGACTTAAACCCCTGGTCCTGTCCTTGAGGTCTACGGCCCCCTCATTTGCCATGATAACTTTGATTTCTGCTTGTAAGACCTTGCTTGTCACTGGTTAACCAACTTTTGTCAATCTTGCCACAGAAAATGCCTTTGATCCATTCACCTAACACCCTCCATCTGTTGCATTGTTCATGAATTGATATGTACCTAGCCTTTGTATTTTGCACGAATCCAAAGCATGTTGATTGTTACCAACTCAGTGCGCTTGTTGTTCTTTCTTGACTTATGACGCTTTGATGTACTAGCCAGATCCCGTTTTGTGCAATTGGAAAGCTGGTGGCAAATTTTGAAATCATTTCTCACTTGTTATGACCGAATTGACTCGGGAAGAGGAAGTAAACAAGACAAAAGGAACAGAGTAGAGGACAATGGAAAGAGATGATTCCTAACGAGAAAACTACAAAGTAGAAACCTATCGGATGTGGATACTAACTCTAATGACCATGACATGCACCTGCGGCCTATTTCGTTAAGCAAACCTGATGTTCAGCTCTTGTTGTACCTTTTTGCCGTGAAACCGGGCTTCAATGCTCCGCTTATCCAATCTGATTCACAATCCTTATTCGACTTGTAGTGCCCGAAGGATTTTCACCATCAAACCTCTCTCATTTTGGTCTTTTTCTCAACTCACTGTCGCCTTATGGTTGCCGTGAAGGTTTTCACCAATAAGACTTTCTCATTTTTTATTTCTCTCAGCTTTCATCGCCTTGCGGTACCCGTGAGGGCTTTCATCAATAAGACTCTCTCATTTTTCATTTCCCTTGTTTGGACCGTAGTGTGCTCCTGATATGAATCACCTTTACTTGCTTGACTTGGCATTCTTCGAAGACTGATCGGAAGGTCTTTCTTTGGATCGTAATGTGGGCTTTTGGATGGGGTTAGAAAGAAAGGGTATCAAAGGCTCAAAACAATTCAAATGGGTTCAAACTTACAACTTTCGGAATCAGATTTCTTACAACAATCACAACTTCTGCCCCAGTTTCTTTGCTTCGGGACTTTTGGATTTTTGTTTTGATGGGACCGAAGCGTGAGGCTGCCTACGTATCCTTGAAAGGAATCAGGTCGAACGTAGCTCATGAGACTACTTTTGTCGTTGCTCTTTTTCTTTTCTTTTTTTTTCCTTTTTCTTCTTTTTGTTGTTGTTTTTTTTTCTTTTTTTTTCTTTTCTTTTCTTCCTTTTTCTTCTCTCTCTTTTGATTGTTTTCTTTCTCTTTTCATTCTTTTCTCTTTTCTCTTTTTCCCTTACTTATCTTTCACGCTTGTGTTTCTGACCTTGCTACTGATTCCGAAAGAGGGGTATGAAAGAAAACCAATAAGGCTCAAAGGGGTAACGAAGGGTAAAGTGTTTAGATAGCAGAACAAAATGCCTTCGTCATTCCAATCTTCAAAGCATGCCAAATACAAACAACACAATTAAACAAATCAAAGAAATCATACGTAATATCTTTTGATTACACCAGAATTGATAGCCATATCCACACATTCGCCTTCTTCATTTGTTAAACACAAAGCATCATTGGACAACACTCTCACTTTCATTACCACGAACGGCCCCTGTCAATTTGGGCGAACTTGTCGTTAGCTTCAACCCGATGCAGCATGATGCATTAATATAGGGTTCCTTTATGTTCTATCTGCCCCAGTTTCACACAATTCGGGCTTGAAGTGATCTCAAAATGCCCTTACTTATTTCCCTCAAACGTCCCTATCATCTTCAAAAATTGTTTCATTGCTTCCTGACCAAACTGACTTTTAAAGATCTGGCTGAGAATTATGCGTGCATGTCATTTCACTAAAACCAGGATGAAAAGAACTGTAAAAGGAGAAGAGAACTAAAAAAATGACCAGAAATAGCAGAAAACAGAGAATTGCATTAAACATACGATGAAAGGGTTTGAACAGCAAAATAACCTGGGGTACAACCCTAAAACAAACCTAGATAACACTAAATGAGATACTACGACTAAAGGAACTAGACAAAATAAAAGGATAGATGGGTTTGAGTCACAAGACAATGTCCGGATTACAACCCTGGAATAACCCGGACAACAGAAATGACAACAAACTAAGCCACCAAAGCTCCTCTCTGACTGACCAAGCAATGGAACGTCTTTCCAATTACCAAGCACGATATCTTAGCCACTGAGTTCCGCATCAATATTGCCAAGACCATTACCAACTTCAATATCATCAACTTCAGTCAACAAGTTCCCAAGAGGATTCGCGTGCTCCCTGTCATTGTCATTGATCACAATTACTCCATCTTGAATCATTCTTTCTATTTCCCTTTTCAAAGATCGACAATCTTCAATGCTATGCCCTTGGACATTAGAGTGGTACATGCATCGTACAGTAGGATCAAAGCCTTTTGCATATGGGTCTGGAGTATAGCCGAGGAGCGGCTTAATCAGGCCAGAATGCTTTAACTTTTCAAACAAACTTGTGTAGGACTCCCCAATTGGCGTGAAACTAGTTCTTTGCCTTTATTCTCTTCCCTTCCCCTGTTTCCTAGGGTTGTTGGGTGCTCGAAAATGCTGCGAAGGCAAGAGTGCATTATGCGGTGCTGGCGCTCGCCATAGAGAGTGACCTGGTGGTTGGACATACGACCGGACATTGTTCGGAGGATAATACTGAGGTGGATTATGTGGAGCTCGGGGATAGGTTTGGGGTTGGAGTTGAGGCTGGGTATGGTAAGGTGATGGGCCCCTGGACCAAGCTCTTAACTCAATTACTGCAACGTCCTCTTTCTTCTTCTTTCCCAATACTCCTCCAGTGCCGCTTTGAGTAGCCTGGGAGGTCGCCTTAATTGTTGAATAACTCATGATTTTGTTAGATTTGAGTCCCTCCTCTACCATGCTTCCCATTTTCACTACTTCATTAAAAGATTTCCCTACTGCTGACACCAAGTGACCGAAATAAGTGGGCTCTAAGGCCTGCAGGAAGTAATCAACCATTTCACTCTCTTTCATCGGAGGGTCAACCCTCGCTGCTTGCTATCTCCTACGGAAGCTATATTCTCTGAAGCTCTCCCCTGGCTTCTTCTCAATTCCGATCAATGACAAGCGGTCTGGAACAATTTTAAGATTGTACTGAAAATGGCATGCGAAGGCTTGGGCCAGATCGTCCCATGTGTACCACCGACCATGATCTTGCCGGGTGTACCATTCCAAAGCTGAACCACTTAAACTTTGACTGAAGTACGCCATTAGAAGTTCGTCTCTCCCGCCTGCCCCTCTCATCTTGCTATAAAAACCTCTCAGGTGTGCCACTGGATCACCGTGTCCGTCATATAAATCAAACATGGGCAACTTGAACCCTGCTGGTAATTGGATATCTGGGAACAGACACAGGTCCTTATATGCCACGCTTACTTGTCCACCGAGCCCCTGCATATTCCTGAAGGATTGCTCTATACTCTTGACTTTCCTAATCATCTCCTCCTGCTTGGGATTTTTAGGAGGCTTCTCAGTTTCCGCCGAGAGATCAAAATGAGGAGTGTAGGAATAGGGTTCTGGAGCTTTGAAAGTGGGCTCCGGGGGGTAATATTGGTTATCGTGAGCTTGGAACAAAGGCTCGCTGGAGGATCTATGGAGTATAGCGGGAGGGGGTGCCACGAAGACAGGAGTGGCTGGTGGAGGAGGGTACGGAACTGGTTTGGGTGGTGGAGCTGGTGGTGTTTGAGAAGTTGTGCTCTGGTAGTGTTGGTAAATGGGAAAGCCCGGGGATGTATCGGTGGCAGGATGATCCGGTGACTGAGCCAATGGCGGGATGAAGGCAGGGTTGGCAGGGTAAGCTGGTGGTGGTTGCCCTTTTGCCCAGGCCCGGTACATTTCGGCCATCTGCTGCTTCAACTTATACATCTCTTCTTTCATCGTATTGACATCCAACTCTTCCCCCTCTCTCGAAAGATCGATGACACTCGCATCAAGTCCCTGGTTGGCCATGAGCACTTTGTTTTTGGAACGGGTGTTGTATGGGTGAGTTGCCAGAATGCCACAAACTAACCACCTGCCTGTTACTTGACGACAACAACAAACTTGTTAGCGATCAGGGCTTAACAGATAGGCAATCACACATTTTGGGGAATGAATGCACCTAAACAGTTAACCGTTTCTATTATGTATTTGATCGGTTGCTTGCGTCATCCGGCTTTTCCTTATTTCTATTTGCAACTTCCCTTTCTTTTTTTTCTTCATTCTTGCCTTTCTTTGCTTGACTTCTCTTTGTTTTTATTCTCTCATTTTTCTCTCTTATTTTGCCGTTGCTTCCTTCTCACAGTTTCTTATTTTCGCTCTTTTTCTCTTCTTTTTTTCTTTTTCTCTCTTGTTTTTCCTCTATTTTTCCTTTTTCTTTTCTCTTCTTTTTTTTCTTTCTTTTCCTTCTTTTTGTTATGGTCGAATCCTATGGAGATTGCCTGCGTATCATGACCCCGCATGAATCAGACCGAGCATAGTTCTGGGGGATAAAAATAAATAATAAAACATTTTGGGATTTTCAAATAAAAATAAAATATTTTGATTACAACGACTCATCCTACCGAATTTTACCATAAAAATCAACAGGCTCAAAAGGAAACTAATAGGAGAAAATCAAGACTCATTTTGACTCAAAAAGTTATCCCTATTTTCAAAATTTTCATAAAATATCCGGCTTTGCCAATACGGCCTTTCAGCACCTCGAGGAAGAAGATTTTAAGGTTGTGTTCGCTAACCGGCCAAAAAATTTAAAAATGACCAAAGGTGGCTGTTCTTGCAAAAACAGCCCTCCGGCGCCCTTTTAGGGACATTCGGCTATTTTTGACAAGAATGGCATCACCTTACTTATTTACAATAAAAATAAAATTTTGTTCTTTTTGGGCTAGTTTTGCGAAAAAGGAAGTTGGACCCGATGAGGGTTGCCTACATATCTCACGCCCTGTGAGAATCATACTGGCATAGTTCGGGCAAATAAAACAAACTATTTTTGAAAACAAGACTCCTTTTTTTTCATTTCATTGGCGAATATATAAACTATTTTTTGAACACAAGACTCTTTTGTTTCCTTTTCATTGGCAAATAAAACAAACTATTTTTGAAAACAAACACATTTTTTTCATTCTATTGTTTCTTCATTTTCCCCAAAAAAAATTCGGCAGAGTTTCGACACTATTTGGACATTGGTTTTTCCAAAACAGGTCATTATCTCTCTTTAACCCTCATACCGCTGTTTCTCTCCCCTTTTTTTTCCTTTTTCCCCAAATATTCAAAAGTCGGTCAGGATGCAAGTCCGAAGCAAATAAATGCACAAGTAGCACGTAAGATGCATCAGGATGGTCTTTTAATTTCAGGTCACCTGTCCTAGACGGACCCAACCCCTGTGTTGAGTCCCCTAAGTCAAATGCATATGATGCAAACAAACGTTCCTACTAGGGATCCGGCATGAGGCTTTGTTATACTAGGTTCAAATCTGGGTATTTGTTCTAGACTGTGTACCCGAGCGGACAACTCGAGTCGAGGAGGGGGCTACGTACCGGGGACCCGAAAGATCATCCGGCTTAGTAACTTGTCCGAGCCTCTTTCTTATTTCAAGGTATGACACTAACAGAATAGGGAGTCTCGGCCAGCGATCATATCCCCGAAGATAAGAAGAGAAGGGTTTCGTAACAGTTTATATGTACAGTTCAAATAATATCAAAGCGGTAAAAGCATCATTTTGCACATTAAGCCCAACATGTAAAACTATCAGATAATAAACAAAGCCAAATACAACAATTATTCTAAGCTCGAATTCTTGAACCCTGAACCAAAAGTTCTGGGTTCATTTCCCCAGCAGAGTCGCCAGAGCTGTCACACCTCCTTTTTTACTTACACCCCCGGAAGGGTGTAAAGGGAGTTATTTCCAACTTGAAGTGACAATCGAAACGGGATTTGTTTATTAAAAGATTCAGAGTCGCCACTTGGGAGATTTATGGTGTCCCAAGTCACCGGTTGAATCCCTATTCGAGGAAAAGAATGACTCTGTTTAACAGTCCGCGGACTAGAAATCCGGGTAAGGAATTCTGTTAACCCGGGATAAGGTGTTAGGCATTCCCGAGTTTCGTGGTTCTAGCACGGTCGCTCAACTGTCATATTTGGCTTAATTATCTGACTTTAAACAATTATAAACCTATATGAAAATTTTAACTTTTAACCGCTTTTATTCATATTTTTAAAGAGAATTTCAACGCCATTAAAACACCTCTCGAACCACGTCACATAAATGCACCCGTGATTTTTGACATATTTTAACTTCGTTGGGATTTGGATTTGGGTCACATAAATGTGCACCCGAGTTTAGGAAAGTAATATTAATAAACACGCGCCTAAAGCAACTACGCGTTTTGTTAACTTTGCGGGAGGCCATGGAAATTCACTAAATGGCACGTCCCGAGTTCTAAATATTTTCTAGAAAATGACTATTGAGGGCCACGCAATTTGTTATTTTTTGTTTGGCGTAGCGCACCTCAAACAAATTTTAAAAGGGAAATTCAATCTATGTCTTAGAGGGCCATAAATTATTCAATTGGTTGATATGGCACATCTCCAATCTACTCTAATTAAGGTGTTTCTAAACTAATCCATGAGGACCGTTTACTATGAAGAACTTAATTGAAAATTATGGAATTTACTACTTGTTTAAATAGAGTCGAGCCAACCAACCGAAATAGCAATCAATTAACAGGAAAGCCTTTTAGCTTAATGTCCAATGCTAGCCATTCCTCAAGCCAAGGCCCAAAATCACAGTCGTAGAAAAATAACACGCTGGACCTACGAAGGCCCGGCATAAATGCCACAAGCAGGCCCAACTTGAAACAACATAACAACTGGAACGCGGCTAATATTGGGCCTGGGGTCCAAGTGACCCAATTACAATGAGGGACGAAAATTAAAGACTTTAAAATGACTACAAGTAAAGAGAAGCCCAAGAGGCCCATACTCCTGTACATTAACCATTGCAAAATCAAACAATTACACACACTATTACTGAAGGCTGAAAATTTGATTTATGTTAAACTTCAAAAACACTCAAACTAGGATCACACTTACATAACCCGAGGAATCAAATCTATACGAGACATTCCTATTATCAACCAGTTTCATGCTTTGAATTTATTTCTAATTGCCCTGAATTAACTGTTTTAAATGCCTACTACGCATAGAAGAGGGATACATTCATGCAGCCCAATGGATTAATCCCATAAACACTTCTTATGTCCATCCAATATTCCTAAATAAAAGTGCAAACCATTATTTAAACATGCTAATAAATCTTGAAACTTTTGAAAGGGACAAGTATCACAGTTTGACCCAAACTACTGGAGAACTATCAGGTTCACACACACTAGATCAGTGATAGAACCTGATAGTACTCCCATGCTAATATGAGATACAGACATAAGCTATCAAGCTCACAGTTCTTCAGTTAACTTTAAGTACTCAACACTTGAGGGATTCAAAGGGAGAGGGTGAATTAAGAGTCAACATACAAATTATTTCAAGCAGAAGCTATAAATCAACTATAAACATAAAATAAACAGAAACCATAGCAAGTAAACAAGTTAATCCAACAAGCTGAAATACATTTCATGCTTCAATATCTCCATTAATTCATTTTCTCCAATCTACCTCACAGTCACTATGGTTACAAAAGAGTGTACTTGAGATTACAAAAATGAGTGAATAAAGGGAGAATCAGTAGCTAAGCTTCAGCAGGGAATGAACCAGCAACAAAACAGCCCAGATTCAATGATGAAAACACAGAAGATGACTCCAAAATTCGATGGAACAGTGGAATCAACAGCTCAAAACCCCAAAAATGCAATCTGAACAACTGATACCAAATTCTAATAACCAGGACACCCAGATGAAATCATTGACTAACTTTCAAGCCATTTCAAGGCTAGGATAGAAGGTGAAAACCAACACTGATTCAAAGATGCTTTGCCAAATTTTAAAGCTCAAATTCGATGGAGCAATAGCAGCTTCTAATTTCTTTATTTTTCCTCTTCTAGTCTTGCCTTTTTTTTAGATTTCTCTGATATTCAGAAGGTTAAAGGCTGCCTTTCAAGACAAGAAAACATGCCTTTATAGGCAAGGCAAGTAGGGCAGATTTCAAGTTCTCATTTTACCCCTTAAGTCCCTCTTAAAATCTATTTTTAGCTTAGAGAGCCTCCAATTACTGACTTGTTCCTCATGTTTTACACTATTAACCTGAAATTCAATAAGACCCCTCTACTAGAAGCTTCTAAATCAGTTGCAAAAGATTCCCTGACCTAGAATGCCTAGACTACCCTTCAAATCCTTTGAAAATTATCCCTACAACCAGGAACTCAAATGGGCTATGGGTCAGGTGGACCCAATGGTTTAACTAGGTGGACGGGTTACCCCTCTTTTGCACATGGGTCAGACCCAAAGCCCAATCAGCTAAATAATTCAACAAGTCAATAACAGAAAAAAAAACTAATTGATTTTAAAAAAAACCAGAACTAGTTGATTGGTTAACTAACACAAACGGGCAGGGAATTATTAAATCATAATAACCAAATAAAACGAAAAAGGCTAACATAAAAGGGAAAAATTCAAAAACCTAACTATAACTTTACTGAGCATGTTAGTTAATTCTTCTTTTTTTTTTCTTTCTTCTTTTTTTTTTTTAATCTAAAACAAAGGGAGCGGAACAGTTCAAGCAACAGACAATTAATCGAAATCCTCAACCGGAGAAAAAGGTAAGTAAAGAAGAGGGATGAAGAAGATGAACTAAAGCAATAAATGGGTACCAAGATCGATTGAATACTCACCGGCTGCACTCGAGA